AATTTTTTAAAAATCTTTGTGCATTTTCCTTTTCAAGTGCCAAAAGCAATCACTGAAAAAAATCACGGGGTCACCGGGTTAGTTTTCGAATTATTTAAGTCACAAGCTAAAAAATGCCTCCGAATTAGCCTATGAAAGCGTTGCCATGGAAACTGCTAGTGACGAAATTACACCTATTTTTGGATAACCAATGATTATATAATTCAACCCCGTAAAAGTGTTCAACTGGCCTTGGCCAGTCTTTCTGTTGTATTCTTTCAAAGTTACAAACCATCAAAAAGATGAAAACTGGTACGAGCCACCTTAAATATGTTCTCTTAAATTGAATTTATGATAGGTGTATAATTAATGAATTCGTTTACATAGCTAGGGGTCTGTTTTTCTAGGGTTAAAATAGTTGCTCTAAGGCAAAGAAGTTCCGAGATTAAAATACTTTAGCAGCTCTTCTTTTTTGAGCATGCTTACGAATGCTCTCTGTGATTTGTTGTATATTTTCATCATCTTCCAAACCTGCAACAGAAAGGATTATCAACTCGAATTACCTCGCTCACTTCCTTAAGGGTTAACTAAAATTTTTTTTAGGATAATCTTCGGATATCAAAACTGGCAAAAGTGCTGCTTACCTCGCCCTCGAAATCGGTTGGTCGAAAGTGAAAAGCTAAAGTCCAAAAATAATAAATCACTAAGAGTCTCGAAAAGGGAGACGATTTTCCTTTTCGCTCTTCTTTGTGAGCTCAGTTTTATGCAAGTTTACGTGTCTAATGGTCCTCACTATAAGCGAGAAAGGAGAACTCGACCTGAAGGAAAATAAACCAGGAATGCCAATTCTTAGGTTTCAAGCAGACTATGTAATTCTTTCTGAAGTGTCTGTATACACACTTATTTCGCCAGGTTATTCACATCAACAAATTTCATTTGAATATCACCTACCATCAAATATCGACGCATCGAAGGATAAGACTCTTTTTGCAGCGACAAGGTTTCGTTTAAAAGACATCTTGGACCTCTGAAATGAAAAGCTTCAGATTATTTTGTATTGCAATAACTTTTTATCAGAAGAATGTCATAGTAGCTTTGGTAGAGGTATCTTAGATTGATGTCATGCATTTATAGGCGTCAAAACCTTCCCCTAAGGTTGTCGAAACGTCAGTTACCACTACCAACAACAGTCCCTACCAGAACTACTCTCGCCGGACGATCAAACCACACGATCATTAGCTGGGTTTAAACCATTTACTGCAAAAAACACTCTTATTTCAATCCAACATTGGATGCAAATATTCTTTAGAGCGCAATTTATACAGGGTCACTAAGGGGTGATGGCTTTTATGCTATCGCTTAAAAATTTTGGCCCTTTTACGACTATCGGTTGATATCTTACTATTGTTGTTTAAAACTTTTTTTCACGACAAACGGTTAAAATTTGTCGATTTTTACGCCAAATTTTTTTGGCCGTTTTACGGCTAACGGTCAACCCCATCGAGAACCTCTTTACAAAGTTTTCACATACTTCATATCTGACCAGATCAAGTGTGTTTCTGTGGAATCATAACGATGAAGACATTTTGTAATACCTATATATCATACAGAAAATAGATCTCCTTCATTTAATAACTGTCTATCTCGGAAATAAAAGACTACTTTGAAAAGAACTGTAAGTCCTCAGTCTAAGTCCGCTAACTGACCAGACCACCCATGCTCCATTTCCCAGGGAATTTGAAAGCTGGCAAATTTTGATTACCTGAAAAACGTGTTGCGCCACTTTGGCTCGCGGTGCACCACTTTCTACGTTGGCTTTGATCGGGCGGTTTGGTGTGCTGCTTTTAGAATCAGAAGTGGTGTCGCTGTGTTCACGAAATTTGTGATCTGTACCGTTCTTCTCCTTACTTTTCGAGGCAGAGGCTACTTTTCCACGCATATTGGAATTACTTAAATTCCCTTTGACCACTTTGAAAGTCAAGTTGCCTTGTATCTGTCCGCCTTGTGTGCTTGTGTGCTGGTCCACTGCTTTGGCAGAATTTGTTTCTTTCTTTGAACCCTGCTCTTTTACTTTCTTGGATCTCGTTGCATGTATTTTAACTGGTTGTTCAGGGACCGTCTTTGGTGCACTGATCTTAATTTTCTGAGCATCAAAGCTTTCTTCATCCGGAGAACTTGTCAGGTCGAAGACAAAAAAGTCTGAAGGGTCTTCCTTCCGAGCCTTCTTAGCGCATGGGGATCCGAGAACTATTATCATGACAGAGAGAAAATCCAATAAGTTAGGCCCCGTTCAGGTGACTAGCTTGACATAACTTGAATCGAATATGAATTCATCACTAAATGCAGAGCATCCTTTAATCAAGTCCAAAGTTATCCCAAAGGTGAAAAAAGATAAAAACTTTTATCATGAGCTGTCTCCAGTGGAAAAACCTGACAACTATGGACTCTGTTAATTAACTTGTTCTGGACCGAAGGAGAAGACTGTTAACCCTGGCTTACAAACTCTACGTATGTACGACTCTATGCAATAACTTCCTTTTTTGAAAAGGAGAGTTCAACAAATTATCGCAAAACTCGAATATAGTAAAAAAGTTCTATAAGAAATTCTCGGGATTAGTAAATCGAAAAGGTCTTTGTTAGTTTTGGTCTTCGAATAACCTTGAAGTACATACATGTGAATTCTGCTAAAGTCTTTCTCCGTACCTTTCGTGTCTTCCCTATCATCCTCTTTTTTGATAGGAACTTGTGGATGCACGGTAACTACAGGTGACTGCTCAGACCAAGCTGTTTTTGAATGATCACAAGCTGCACGAGTCATAGGAGAAGTAAGAGAAGTGCCTTTCGTCTGTTTCGTTACGCAGTCAGAAATAATATCTTTAGGTTGTTTCAAGGTTTCTTCTGCATCTTCAAAAAATTCAAAAGTGTGTTAGATCACAAAATGCCAACTAACGGCATAATTATACCCATTGCAAAAAATATTTCGTGTCAATGATGTATCTGAAATTACCTGAAAAAGTGAGTTTTGAAAAAAATCCTGTTTACCGTCTGACTTTTGCATGATCGAGGAAAAGGGAAATATCTCCAGCCCATAAATTGTCTTTTCTTTCCGAATAGAAACTACTTTTACAGAACGATCATATTTGGGTGCTGCTATCAATACTCTGTGACCGCCCGTGTACCTTTTTGGTGGAGGAACTATAAATCCTTCACTGATTTAGTAGCTCGACAATGACATGTGATTGTCTTTCACTACGCCACTCACGAAGCAAACGTTTTTTCCCGTCAAAACTCGTCAACACTTCGACAGATCTGATTTTCACTATTGCTCAAATAGTGCTTTACTGCGAAGGATCGTGCACATATACACTTCGAATATTAATACCTTTTGATACCAAAGCTGATGTGATGTCCTTTTCTTGTTGTCTAACTGACCGCTGATCCTGGTCAGAACCAGAGCGCATCGGAGCGATCGCAGCGGTTGGATGTGTAACGACGTGGTAATTCTGTGCCGAGGGCAGAGGCTGTTTCTGAGTATTAAAAAAAGGAACTATGGTATCCTCATCTTGTCGCTGCTGAGGTAACTGTTTAGACAATCGTGTAGCTTGCACGCAGGTTGGAACTTGGACATTTAATGGAAGCGCTTCTATGGCGGTTGGGTTCGGAAGAGTTAAATGCGGTGCTGGTTGAAAGTGATGCAGTGGGATAGAGCTGGAAGGATTTACCTCGGCACTGTCCCGAGCAAACGGCGTCTGGCCAGGGAAAGCGACGGTTGACGGGTTCTGCGGGCCATATGTTTGATAGGGTTACTGCGTAGGCTCGAACTCTTGACGTTGATTGGCTAAGGACTTTAGATTAAGAGGAATAGAGACCTCTGCATGAGTTTGTTGCCGGAAGCTGATTTCATCCAGTTTTTGTAGCAGCATGTCTTCTCTCTCCAAAAATTTTTCTTGTTTTTCTGAAGCTTTTACCTCACGTTTGCGATATTCTTCCAATTGTATGTTTAGTATTTTGATTTCTGAATCTTGCTCCACGTTCTTTTTGTTTTGCTGAATGAAAGAAAGGATAAGGACTCTAGAAAAAAGCTTTCACAGGAGTCTAGTTTTATTAAGTTCCCTTGATTTTCAGTGTCGCCTACTTTACACGTACTGGTTCAATCTTGTTTGCTCTGATTATTCTGAGAATCAAGGAATTCGACGGAAACATTTTTATCGGCCCAATAAAACTTTCTCGAAACTCTGGGAAAATTGTTTTCTGAGGCACGTTCACATTATTATGTTTATTCAGTAAAAGATAAGGTTTAAGGCCTAGTTATCCATACAACTATGATCGCCAAAAGGAAACAGCGTTACTTCTAGTGTCAGTTTCAATGAAGACAGTGCACTATATTTTTGGAGAATGTCCCCTTTTCTCTAGTGATCTCCAAAATTCACCAATTTTGTTTTAAAGCATTTATTTCCACTCACACCAGTAACCGCACCCACAGCCGTGATCACACAGATTCTGCTCACATTTATAATTTTACTTTGTCCTATTCTTATATGTCAAAATCACCACGCCCTATTGTCACGCAACATAACCTTGTTTCCGTCATATTCACGGTTCTCCTTACCTTGGCTATGATGTCTCTTAACTCTTCATTTTCTTTCATATCCTTCCTAAGACAAACAAAACCCTCCAGCAAGTCATCTTTCACTAAGGAAAATAAGACAGTTCACATTACCCTTCCCAATCAGACAGTACGACACGACTGAAGACGATAGCGACAAACACAGAGTATAACATGGTTTCTTACATTTCTTTATCAGATCTGCTGATTCGCTAGCGGCCGAGGCAACTTGTTCAGCTTTTGAGGCAAGTGTGGTATCAATGCTGTTCTTGAATGAATCCATCGCTGCTTTTACCTGAATCGTTATAGTAACAATTCATTCTTTAATAGAATTTAGGTTTTATATACATATTATGTAATAATAATGATAATAATAGTAATAATGATAATAATAATAATAATGATAATGATAACGGTAATTATAATAATAAGAATAATAAAACCAATATGTATATATAGTATGTTCTAATAATAATAATAATAATAATTATTGTGATTATGATAACAATACTGGTAATAATGGCAACAAGAAAAACTATGACAACAACTTACAAGAATAGTGATAATTATGATAATTATGAATGAGTGGAAATACCCTTAACAGATACACATCGTGATTCTACTGTACATCTTTACTAATTCTGAACTAACATCAACTTGATCTATGATACTAATGGACGCTCTCGTACCTCCTTTGTGTAATCCTTGAGTAGAGAAATGAAATTATCAAGAACATCCCTGTCAGAAGCAACATAAGAAGGTTTACAGAAGCTTGAATCCAACTCGGGTTATTATACATGACACTTTTAAACAATGTGACTGGAGAAAGACCGGATGCAAAGTTAAACTTTATTTTAAGTCTTTGTTTTGTAGATTAAAATATATATTGCTAATTAAGTTAACAGGTCAAATAAAATTTAAAATCTCAGGACTGAAACGTTAGCTTGGGTTTAATTTATTTGACAGATTTAGTACAAGCAGTTTTGTCTTGATTGCTGGTAGTACGTCCCGAGAGAAAATAACTCTCTAAACTCCCTCACTTCCTATCGAAATGTTGATTTTTACTATTAAAACTACTTAGTACTATTCAAGTATTTTAAGATCAATAAATCATCTTTTCAGCGAGGAAAAATAAACAAAAATTTAAAAGAATATAAACTTACCTGCCATCTCTCTCAGCTGTTTTTTTCTTTTGAATTTCAATCAGTTCTTTGTAACTCGTTGCGGACTGAGGGTTCTGCTGACTAGACTTTCGTTCAAACTCAGATGAAAACAAGGGTGGCTTACTCATATATTTCATGTAATATTTTATTGGTTCGTCCTGCGTGGTAAAAGCAATCAACATCAGTAAAGTGACTGTACACCAGTGGTATTCACAGATATTGAGTAGAGCACTCTTTCCTTCCCATATTCGTGGCCAACTCTGGAGGTGAAATCATGTTGTTGTAAAATAAAAAGGGTGTCTTTTTTGGATAGGAGATTGGTCCGTGGCAAATTCTTCTCACGCCCTCTTCAAAGCAGTTTGTGAATTCAGTTTTAGACACTCCTTCCGTTGCTGTTTAACTCTGTTTATCCATTTATGGATGGTATGAGAGTAGATATTGAATGTGAAAAATCTCACCAGGCTAAGAAAGTTATAAGGTTTTTTTGTTGGAACAGATGGATGAGGGATTCGAGAAAGAAATGGAAACAAGCAAAATACGATGAAGAGAGAAAACAAGTTGATAAAACCGCGAAACAAGATAAAATAAAAACCAAAAACAATGTGACAAATAATGTAATAAGGATATAATAGATAAATGAACTTCAATCGTTTTTCTCACAACGCAAGAGCCAGGCTAATTAATCGTGAATTGATCGCAGATGTTGGGTAGTTTTACTTTACAATTATGTCACAAATGCGTGGTCAGTGCGAACAGAAGTTGAGAAGTCATATCTAACAGTCTTTCTGTCTCCAGATAAACCTACCTCAGGCATTTGTTGTGAATTTGTTGGTTGTGACCAAACATCGATGGAGCTAAACCCCTTCAGCTGACCGCTCATCTTGGACTGTGAAAACAGATCAGTTGAGCTGTTTTGAGAACCCTGTGAAGACGATCCGAGATTTTGACTAAACTGCTCACAGTCCCACATCTCTCGACTGAAAAATTAAAAAAATTTGTAATGATCAGGACAATAAAACTCATATCCATGGCTCCTTTAAACACGCCCCTGACTGTACATAAAATTATTTAATTACATCGACTAAAAGTGTCCCTTGCGAACAAAGCAAGGAAAAGAAATGCTTGAAAATTTTCTGGTTTTAAAGCTGTTTCGATATTTTCCCTCCAATTTCTATGTGCAACTTATATATCTTATTTTAAAGTGAAAGCGATTCTAATAGACTGCGAAAATCTAAGCCTACTTCGTAAAATTTAAACTTCAAAATAAACCTTTTGAAAACTGAATGAATAAACTTTAAGTGGGTTACACGCACGACACCGAGAAAGTTAAACTAAGGTAGTGCTGACCATTGAGCTCCTTAGAAACTTCGATGAATGCAAATTAAGTTAAAATAAACCTGAGCAGCTTACCAAGGGTTGGAGTTGTACAATTCACGGGTAGGGAAAACGTTTTGCATCATAACTGACACTCGTGGAGTACTTCAGAATCCCCTTAGACTGCAGTTTGTAGAAATCAAACGTCCGGCCCAGAACACAATCTCTTGGTGAAACAATTATTTTCCTGTGGCAGTTGTCAATTCTCTCTTTCCAAGGATTGGTGGAAATTCTTCGACAAAACTTAAAAAGCTGAAGAATAATAATTCAAAATAAAGGTAAAGCCATTAAATGCAGTGACCCCGTGTCATGAAGATTTTAAAAGCACCTTGCGTAGCTGCGTCAAATTTTCCCGCCTTTTCTTTTCTGGAGCGCGGTCAGCGTCAGCGAGGGAGAGGGAGGGGGAAGGGAGGGAATAAAAATAACTGAAGTGAGCGAAGGTGGAGGAACGAAAATTACCTTTCCATAAAGGAAAATAAAGCGTTCCCCTGGACATAAATTTAAAGGGAGAGTTTCCTTTTTGTTTTTTATGCGAAAGGATACTCACAGCTATCCTTCATAGCTCTCTCTAGCAATCGTCTGCTTACAGGGGTGGGGTAACGGTGGTCAACGTGTACATCGCAACCCGCACGCGAACGCTATTCGCATAGTTTTATACTTTATGCGTAAGCAGTGAAATTGCATCTAAATTTTGTCTGATACTCTGATTTTCTATGTCTGGAGAATCGTTATGACTGGACATCTCCAGGAGCCCATTACAATGGTCTTCTGACATCCCAATCTCTTAGTAACGCGCTTTAATAATTACTTCGGCGCGTTGAGGTGGAACGAACTTTCATTGGTTTATTTCTCTAAGGGCTGTCAATTATAATCAATTACAGGCTCCGTGGTAACGAACACAACATCAATCCTTCTCTAATGGGAATAAGAACCTTTCTGACGATAATTGACGATTGCCCAAAAATTGTGGACGAGACGAAGCATTTTTGACCCGAATAGTTTCCTGATAAATTCAAGATGACAAGAGTTTACGACAATAACGACATTCGTGGAACTTGGGTGAGTTACTGAGTAGCTTTGCGTGAATTCGTCTTCGTGGTGCCTACTGTGAAAACAATTGAAGTACAAGAAAAATTATTTACACGTCTAATTTTTCAGTTCCCTTCAGGTTTCCATGGGCATTTTCGAAGCAAGTCGCGATCAGAGTTTACGATTCCTTATCGCCACAGAGCGAAGCCATGTCCTCCGCAAAAATTTCTTAATTATGCGACGGTAAGTTCTGATAAAATCAAACGGACGCGGCTCCCAGCTGACATAAACATTGTCATTATTCTCATGTAAACAGCTGCCTGTATAACTTTCAACAAGCACTAATTCTTCAGTTATCTGCCTTTAATTTGATAGTGGACTAGTACTAGCCGACGATATCTTGTATACTCGGATATAAATCACACTTTGACTTTTGTAAATATCACTACTTGAACTTCAGAAAACTCAACAAATTTCACCATGTTCGATTTTAATATGTCTCTGCTGTTTCGTTGAGAGCTGATTACTGGGGACACGAATCCTCGGCCACATCAAAAATAACCTAACTTTCTTTCTTTTAAACCAAATCAGAAACACTTGGTCGGACAGTGAACAACCTCTCAGCGATTAACATTGTTCTCGCGTAACAGAGATGACAGAATTTAATCTGAAATATGATCAACAGCACGTGAAGTTCGATTCAACCTTCCTTGTAATCTTGCAAAAATTCCGTAGACAGGTGTGACATCTTAAAAAATACATCGCAATTTTGTTAGGATTGTACTAACATTGGTCACCTTATGTTGTACAGGAATTTCCCAGTCTATGAAAATTATGTTATTTGAAGTCTTCGTATTTTTAGTATTAATCTGAATAATTTTCTCGTATGTGTTTAACAGGAAAGATCCAATAGACACCTGTTCTCGAGACACGACAACAGACATGCTCACAGCGATATGGGAGATCTTGAAACCTATTTTGGAATGGTATTTATTAATCTTCTTACATTCAAAATCTTGATATCATCTTTTTTAAGTAACCTATTTGTTTTAGCCCAGCCTAAGTTATCATCTGAAATTCCCAGTGATCCAAAGCAGGGAGGACCTGTGGTTGAAAGAATCATTGGAGTTTTCTCAAATTCTTTTCCTCTATTCTGCTTTGTTGTTGTTGCTTTTTTTTAATCTCACAATCCAATCAACTGTTGGCAAAAAAAAAAATAGGTTTTAACCAGTGTCTTAACAGTAGTGGCCACTGTCTTAGGGATTGCAACTCTGTAGTTGAAGTTGAAGTTCATTTATTTGTTTAAGCAGGTTGATTAATTGGCAGCTGTAATAGCTGATGTGGACCTGCTGTCCTAACCCACCCATCCCACCCCAGGGGAGGACATCCATCACACAGTAATCTCGTGTGTGGGAAATTAACGTCTCATGCCCCAACCCTGCAGGAGACGGGACCTCCATTTATTCGGCTCTATCCAAGAAGACTAGAATATCTAACCATTTCTTGATGTTATAGAAAGGTAGCAAATTCTTCTCAATTATTTTAAGACCTGGAGTGTTGGTCCAGCCGGGGCTCGAACCCTCGACCTCCCGCACTACAGTCCAGCGCTCTATCCATTGAGCTAACCGGGAGGCGGTCAGCTCAATGGATGACATGTGGTCGAATATGAAGGTACACTGTAGCAATTGGGTGTCCTGATCCTGTTTCACTCGCAGATTTAAAAAAAAAAAAAATGCAGCAGGAGGAGTACTTTTAAAAACAGTATTTAAAGGATCGCAAATTTAAAAGGAAAAACTACCCTGTCTTTATGTCCAATTTTTGTGGAACATAATTATTCACTTTGAGCTTAATTAGGCATCAGGTATAAACTGTTTGTCGCCCTCCATAGATAAGGGCTGGCAAATTGTAGGTCCCAAAAAAGATCTTACTTGATAATCCCGAGAGTAGTAGTACCAGTACAGTGGAAATGAATAATGCTTCAGCATCTTCCACTGCTGAAAAATTTTGTCACTTTTGCATGACAGCTTTACTATGGGACTCTATATATTCCTGTATATGGCAGATTTTAAACTAGAGATTAGGTGCAAACCAATTTACCATTTATTACCCTGATGGCACAGCTTGTTGATTATTTTGGAAACCACTTTTTCTGTATTAAAGGGACTTCAAAGTGATGGAGAAAATAATTGAATCTGTGACTATTTTCATTCTACTCAAGAATTTCCATGCAGCAATTTTAATGGACACATGGTGTCCAAGAACATTAAAAAAAATTCTTTAATCGGACACCAGTGGCATTTGCATGGCAATTAAGTGCTTTTGACAGTTGGTAATTCATAGCTTGAATTACACAGACAGTCAACTTTTGTTATTAATTTTGTCACCCAAATTATATACTCTGATAATAGAAAAACTTCAACAAAGTTGTCTAATGCGATTGGTTAGCAACAGCCCAAGTTAAATGTTAACAGTACAGTGTTCATGAAGGTGTCATGCTTGTAACTTAACAGTACAATGGCACAAGTTATATGTCATTTACATGTGCTTGTTATTTACTATGGACAATTGGTTCATTTGGTTTTTTGTGCCTATATGAATTTATGAACGAGTTTAGCTGATTGGCAATTTTTTTCTCAAATTCTGTTGTTAGTTACTATTAATCATTAATTATTAATTAAAGTTGATTACAGGACCTTCTCAAATTCTGTTGTTAGTTATTAATAATTCAAGTTGATAACAGGACCTTCTGTTGTTTAATTATGTCTGCAGTCATACTCAGTAATTTATTAACAAATTGAACTCTTGCTTTGCTGCCATCTGAGTCACAAATAGATTCTATGTTGCCGTGCCCTTGTTCAGTACATGTAATAGAACACAGATATGATCAAATGTGATGAGAACTAAAAAGTGGAAGCTGGAGTGCAGCCTATGGTGTCACTGATGTACTTATCACATTTTGACATCTGTCATTCCTTTTGCATCAAATGCCGAGTTTTTGGATGATAACTTGGTAAAGTAGGTTGAGAATTAGCCAAAGTTTGAGGTGTATTGGTAAACTGTCAGATTGAAAAATAACGAAAAGTTGTTAATTGTATTTTTGAACTTTCCTCTTTGTAAAGCCTCTCAACCTCTTAAATCTCAGAAGTGATAGACATTTAAATTCTTCTAATAGTATCCATACATGATCCAATAAGCAAGTGATGCGAATGTGAATACTAAAACTAATCAGGTAGAAATTGTTGATTTGATCTAACACCAAATTCTGGTAACTAATTGAAAATTAGGAAATGTGCAGAAGCTGTAGGGGAGAATTAACAATCAGATCTTGGGAGTTAAAGAGTTTTAATGCACAGTTAAAAAATAATTGAAAAAGTAATCTAAAGCCAAGTAAAACATGCCAGTCACAAAAACCTTGTGACAGGGTTCTCATTATAGAGTGGGACCTAGCCACCAGCACTAGGATGAAACAGGCGTCAGTACCCAACAACCCACAATTGGGTCCTAAATTAGAAGAGTTCCCTTCCACTTCACTTTTTTTGCTCAGAAGGATGCCCAGCAGTTAAAAAAATATGTAATGAAAACCACAGGGTTGTTAAGTTGAAAGATTATATCCAATGGAAGTCACTGAGCTCAGCGCTTACCAGCCTTGCAGCTGATGTGACAATGTTGACACTATCCTATGTGAGTGTGACAGCACAAGTATCAGTTTGAGCATGACAGTTTCTAAGGCACATCCGGCTTGCGTGACAGTTTTAGGAGCAAGGATACATTTGAAGAGAAATACTGTAGATTTATGTACTCAAATTTTAAAGACATCAAGACAAACTTGCTACATCAGCTTCTTATGCTAAATCAGTAATGTTAACAGGCTAACGAACCTGCGTGGAAATGTTTTATGCAGTTGTTTGTTTGTTTTTTTTTTTTGTAGGGAATGGGCAAACGGAAGTATGTCCAGCCAGGTCAAACCCAACACACAAAGAGCACTCGAGACTTGCTAACATGGCGAGGAAATGAACCAAGTGACGTGACTTCAACTTACCGTTCACAGTATTTAACTTCTCGGCCATCTTCGTGCAGTTTTAACGAATCCGAACCAATCCACGTGAGGTCAAATCTAGAGCTTAGACGAAGACATGTTCGGGCATCTTCGGCACCTCCATCACAGCGCCGGACAGCTCCGTTACTCGCTTGGAATGAACCGGACGAATCACATCACGGAAAACCCGGTGTTGGTGTTCGGCAGACCATACGAAATCAAGGCGGGTTTGCTTCCGAAACTCCCTTCGCACACACGGCACCTGCCGCCCAAGTGCACTCGCCGAGTTCCGGCCAAAGTTTCACAGTATCAGAAACTATCGTTCCTCTAAATACCACGTGACTTCAAAGCATTCAATGCTAAAAACGCTACTTCATTATATTTTGAATCGTTTGATGTCACGTGCAAAATTACCTTTACTGCAAAGAAAGCCGCAAATTATTAGCATGTTAATGTAATACTTAAATGGAAGGAAGAAACGAAATTGGAGAAAATATGTGGAAGGATGACAAAGATTTACACGGACTAAATTGTCCGACTTGAAAAAAGTTACGGCTCGATTTTTCGACGTAGTCGCCACAGGCCAGGGAAAGGTAAAGGAAGAATGAATTTCTTCAAGATCAAGAAAAAGTCAAGGAAAATTTACCTCTTTGAAAGAAGTCAGGGAAAAGTAAAACATTTATGTACACTGTAGGTGACTTACTGAAAGCATAAATGTAATTATGAGTGGAAAGGATGACTAAAGAGGAAAGTTTTTCGGTAAAAGTCAGGGAATTTCAAAAACCTATGGCTGTGGCAACCAATTTTGAGATGCATCACACCAAACTAGGTGATATAATGTGACACCGACACTACCAGAATGAGAGATACAAAACCAATTAACCTTTGTTTTCTTTAAGCAATTTGAGGAAATGCTGCAAAAAGCGCAAAAGTGCAAGCCAACAGTTACAGCTTACCATCAATAGTTTTCCTCTTTGACAGATCATTTATTTTAAACTAAATCAGTGATATGGGGGGTGAGAGTAAAGAGAATTTAGAGACTTTATTATGGGTGTGAATTTGCAGAAAATCATTGTAATAAAAAGAATATTAAAGATGCGGGAAAGAACTGGAGAATTACTTCTTTTTGAAAGCTCTGAAATCAGTACTTCTTGATTAATCAAATTTTTTCTCATGATATTTAACCAAGACCAACCATGCATACAACAAACGAGGTGAAGATTTAAGTTTTACTTAGAGGCCACCGTCTTTAGTGTGAAAAACTAAAGAACAGAACAGAAAATGTACGTTCCATGACGTGGCCAGTAGTAATGTGCAGATTCTTCATTAGATATTGTCACTGAGTTCCTATCTTCTTGATTCGCAGCGTTGGCAGTTCTTTCAACTTTACCAGAGGACTTCTGGATCACAGGTCAGTGTCTGAGATACTGCGCACCTACCCGACCCTTAACTCAACTTAGCTTTAACTTAGTATCAGTTGAATGTTTTGGGTTATCGGAGGGGTAGGTACCTAGTTGCTCAGACATTGATCCAGAGTTCTTTCCGTTTCTGAATACATTTGGATAATTTTTTTTTTTTTCATGTGACGTGGAAACAGTGAAAGTGCCTTTGGGTTAAAAAAGCAAATGTAAATAAGAGTAATCCAGGGTAGAGAAACACTGATTGAATGAAGACTGACAAGTCATTGAAAGGAAAACCCCATCCTTCACTCTAAGAAAAACAGGCCTGTGCGTCAACTTTACGTGCATGTAATACTTCGAAGAACATCACAATGAGTTTTCTCCATACTATTCTCTACACATTTCCCCAGGTAGTGCTTGAGAGAATTTGATTAACAGCCAAGAGCTTTAGTTGGCGATCATTTCCTTTACTCTCTTGACCTTAATGTGCGATTAAGGGGTGATATTAGAATAACCTATCAGAATCGATGCGATGCTGAAACCCTTGTATATTAAGATTAAAATACCCCTCAATTAGTCCCTAGAGTTTATTAATGAACGTCATGCCAGCAGAGTTCGACTAGCTTCATAATTTGGGCGCAAAGATATTCAATTTTAGCTCCTTGTAAGCGATTACCCGCCAAACAATGCTACTGAATGGATGTTCACATTGTATGTTTTTTGAGAAAAAAGTGAAATAACCCAAGAAAAAAGTGAAATAATGATAGAGCGCGAGGAAAACTTTCCAATACCGTCGATGAACAAGGCCGGAACAATCGATGAAATCGATACTCGATGACAATCGTTGACGATCGATGGTATTCGATACCAATGGTATCGATTAATCGATTGATTTTTTTGATAATCGATTTTCATCGAATGTTCTGGCCCTGCGATGAACAATGATCTTATAGTACAAAGTGGGCGCCATCTTGGATTTTAACGCTCGAAAGATCCTGGGAACGAATAAAAGTTTTTATACCCACAATTCTTCGAATAGGCTGTCGTGATAGTTCGGCGCGTGTGAAAACATATAAAGTATATTTATAATGTTCTCTAATAGAAATATCACGTAAAATGTCGGCGATTTTGTCGCCTCGATGTCCGTAACTTCATTGCCAAAATATCGCTGTTGTATTGCTGTTAGAAAACTGAGAGGGGTGATCGTAGCTGAGGACATTAAGCTGGACTTGCGATCGATGCTTCTTCCGGCTTATTGCTATAGCTCATGTCGACGGTCTACAAACCATCTGGATTAGTGCGATTTGTGTCGTGGAGGGCCCGATTCAGTCAAAAATGGAAGATGAACGTGAACAGATCAAAATTGTAGAGAAGCCCTCTATTAAAAGGGTAACAAGTGAGATTTACAACAATAATAACACGTCAGGTTACGTCAGTGATTCCAGTGAAAGTGATGTCGTCATCGATAAAGAAGTTTCTGAAATTGCGGCTTCACAGGGAAGTATTTGGGACAATTTATCGAACCAGCTCTCTGATTTGGCAGCAGGAGAGTCAACAAGCGGTGAATGTGATGATATCATCGATGCAGATTTTTCAAAACTCGAGGCATCAGAGGGAAGCAGTTTGGATGATTTACGGAACCAGCTCTCTGGTTTGACAGCAGGAGGGTCACAAGCGGTAAATCATGAAACCGTCTCTGTGCCGGGGCAGCTTCCTGTCAATAAACCATCCGACTCAGCAGGCTCATTTAAATTTCCCTCCCCGCCGAAGGACTCTCCTACAGACAACGAACAGCACGAGCCAGCTTCGGCTGACGAAATGGATGCAATCCATTCAAGGTCGTCGCAATCGAGCCTTGATTCCAACAGTTATTGGTGGAGTTTAGCGTTATTTGATCTCCCTCCAAAGGCACTACACGATGATGAAGAGAAAAATCTATGGCCACTTGAGGTACGACCAAGGTTGTGTGAGAATTAGTTGAATAGTTCGCAGAGTGAAGGGCACTAGATGCATAAGTTTTTGGGCAAGGTATAGCTAAGCCCCTTTGACTGAAATTATGGTAAACTATGATTAGGTTCCTCCTAAATTTATCAAACGAAGCAAACGAATCACTTGTATCTCATAGTTATCCCTTGTTATCTAACGCTAATGTCCATCACCTAACTGTGGCTGCGCTATCTTTCTAGCCCTTTATGGTTATTAGGGGCAGTCTGTACTCCGGCTCTATAGAGTTTAAAGTTGTTGTAATTTACTTGTAGCTGTTGGGTACAGCTACTGTCGCTGTGGTTGTTGTCACAATACTAAAAGATCAATTATTTACAGTGATGTTTTTCGTAAATGTTTGTTCAATATCATGGCATTTTCTTATGGGCGAAGCTTTCAATATTGAACTCTGTGTGTTTTCTTTTGGTCCACAGGAGGAATTCTCTCTCAAAGATCAGTGGAAATTTAAGGAGGATACTGATTATCGGCTTGCTACAGTAATAGGAGCTGGAGCATTCGGAAAATGCTACGTTGGCGCTGTTCAAAGGGTTAATACTGAGGAAGAGAGAGTATTCTGTGTCAAAAAGGTAAGACCAATGTCCATAGCAACGTCATTTCCATGAAATGAAACTCAGTTAATGCAAGGGTCATCATCGGCGGGTTGCTGAAGAAAAGAATAATTATTGACGCAAGTTGTCTCAGAAGAGAGTTAACTTCACTCTCTATGCTCTAGAATAATGTTGTCCAATTGTCTACTTAAGTCCCTAAAATCAGTGCGTTTAAAGGTAGTGTAAATCCCAATGTACTCTTTATTGGTTATCTTGTCTATTCCACTGATATTTTTTATTTATCTATTTATTTGCAAGTGTGAATATAAAATGAATGAAATCCTAGTCCTAAGTCTTGCAAGGTGGAGCAAGATTGCTGAAATCGTCGAGTTTTATGGAGCTACAGTCAAAGGCAAAAATGTTCGCATTTTTATGGAGTATATGGCAGGTAAACCAAAACTAACTGTTCAAGCTTTCTCTCGTGTATCGTAGTAATTAACATGTTATATATTTATAAGACAGTAGAAACTCGAGAGAGTCTGAGTGAGTCAGCTGCTGCCAGACCACATCATTTTTCCAGTATTACATGGCCAATGTAAAAAAACCCTTAGTCTGAGGTTCTCGGTGAATAAAAGCAACCACAGCTCTGGATTGCTTTTACTGATACAGCAGTTGCCTTGTAAGAAATACGCAATGAATTCTACATACATGTAAACTATTTGTCATTTCCATTTGCGTCGGTCTTGGGCACTGACCATTACAATTAAATCTATGCGAGATTATTAATAGAATGAACGATTTCAAAACTATTTTGAAGTATAATCATGACAGCAGAGGTGGGACCGCACTTTTAGTCCTTTAATTTTTAAGAAGAACGTCATTATGGCGTTGTTTTCGAATTGCTCACCTACTCACCCTTTTCTACAATTCAACTTCTGCTTCTTAATAGGCGGAACCATTGCTGAGCTGATTAAAGAGAGGGAAATTTCGCAAGAGGATAGTCTTCGTTACTTAGAGGTTGTCCTTAAAGCTCTAGAGTTCTTACATTGCAAGGGGATCGTACATAGAGACATTAAAGGTAATGCACAAACTATTTTCCTTTTCAATGTTTTTCATCTTCATATATTTGTTATCATTTTTTAAAGCTTGTAAATGTATCTTAATGAGGCTCTCACATATAACCAAAGGTAAGAGAAGAGTGTCTAGTGGTTGCGCAGGGACTCCGTCCCACCATACCTCAAGCACCTCCTCCCTTTTTCTTTCCCATACTCTTCATTTTTCAGTAACAAAAAAAAGGCAGATGTGAACTAACCTCAAGGTTTTCCTTGCAGGAGATAACGTTCTTTTAGATTTGGGAGATGATGGCTTTCTTTCTGCCAAGTTAGCAGACTTTGGATCTGCAGAAAGTACAGCAATGGTAAGCTTGCCCGACAAGAAAAGTAGGCCACTCAAAGCACTGAAACACCATCGAAAGGAAACCTAATGGTGAACAAGAGAGATCAATGCAATCTATGCTACGCCATCCACACCACAAAATACACCTAAATAATTTTTTTGGCTGTATTGTTAAGCGAATTGTGCAACAGTATGAAAAAAAAGGCAGGTTTCGAAATGACAAAGGTTCACGTTAACAGGGCACTAGTTATTATTTATCCTCTGAGGAGGGATAAGAGGAAGGGGAAGAGCGGTTGTGGATGTTGATTTTGTCGTTAAAAATTTGCCTAATCTCTCCTAAAGGTCCTGTAGTTTTCTCATAATCCCCCTCATTGGCAGTGAGTGGCAGTCGATTTTCTTTAGGCCCCACCCAGTTTATTTTCTGTCACTGACGACTGATCACTCCTCCCTTCTACCTGAAAACTATGTGATCCCCCCAAAATCCTACGACCTCTTCACCCCCTTCCCCCTCCCCGACGATTATTAGTGACTATTTCCTAAGCTCTTCCTTCTGCCAAACAGGAGCGCGAAGTTAGACCCTCATTCGATATTTGGAAGACCGGCTGTCTGTTGCTGGAGATGTTGAATCGTGAAAGACCTCTTCGTCTAATCGATGTGAGTAACTAGCCGATTTGAAAACACTTTGCTGTAATTTATTATTTTCTACCAGTCATGGTTATCGTTATGGTAACGAATACAGCAAACACAGGTAGTCAACAAGAAACAAGGAACTCGATTTTGAACGCACAAACCAGTCTCTTACATCTTCCAAACACATGTGTCAAAGATGAATATATCTCGAGTTGTGTGGGTTACTTTGTGGAGACAATTTTGAGAACAGTTACACGCACAAGGTTTGGAAAGACTTTCACGAGGATCTAAGGCTCAGAAATTTACGTAACCAGGACTCCCAGTTATATTTAAAAAATTCACGATAGTCCTAGACCCTTCGGGCAACTCGTTCCATACCTTTTACGCGTAACTGTATCAAAAAATGGCTTCTTAAAGAACCAAACCATTGGCAACACTCGAGGTTAGGTAATCTTCTATTTAACAAAGAATCATTGAAACATGTGAGAGCTCCCACTAGTCTAAACTGACTGACAGAAAAGGGTGTAAAAGAGACTTAAAAACGAGTATAATGTATGCCAACACTAAGAAATGTAAGCATAGCTGAAAAGGAAGGGGTGGGGTAAGTGTCTGCTAATTCGCTTCAATTTGCTCTGACGAAGTGCTAACACTCGAAACGTCAGCTTTAAAAACTCTTTCGAGAGGCCAGTTTACACTGTCAACTCAATTTATCGTCTAACTGAAAACAGTCTCGCCCCATTGGCGAAATGGAATGGATGCAGTAATTTTGTATATATTTATCCTTGTAGGAAAGAGCTCTTCAAAGACAGAACTCGTGTAACCCAGTGGAAGACTTCCCTCCACAAGCCATGGACATAACTAAACAACTTTTACGACTTTTGTTCGGACTAGATGGCAGTATCCCTACAGCTGCTGCAGTCTTAAAACATTCAGGAGCTTTTCCTGTGGCAGAATTGCTAAATCGCCTTCCTAAGGAATCATAAAGTCTGGAAAGTTCCACTTAACCTCAGATTTCTTTTTATTTTATTTTACAATACACCATGTGTTCCAATACAAGCAAAAACCATAATTCTAACGTTTCTTACAATACTTATGGTGATTCCCTTTTCCATTCTTATTATTGAAAATACAAAATTGTAATATAAATGCTGCAATCTAAATATTAATACAATTGATTAACAACACTAAATTTTCAATGCAAAGTTACAGAAAAAAACAAACAAACAAAAGGTTTGGCTAACAACAGAAACAGCCATGCAATTACTGTTGCAAGCAAAGCAACAAACAAACAGTCAAAAACAAAACTACCAAAAAAAGAAAGAAAAGAAAAAACTTAAACTGGAGCTGAGAATTTTGAGTCCATTGCTTATATCTAAGGTTCCTATGTCATTATTTTTGTATCCCTGTGTTTAATTACTTACATTAACCTTCAATTTGAAACTCTCAAAATGGACTTACACATTTCTTGTTGCAATCCCAAAAAAATATTTTTCAAAACTTTTTCTTAGTTTTCTTCCAGAATCAGTTCCCGGCAATTTGAAAACAAACCCAAGAAAAATATAATAAAAATATTTATAGATAACTTGTCGAATGTTCTAGGTGGAAGATGTTTACGGAGTGTATGGAATTTTCCACAAAATATTGATGAATGTATTTTGTAGAATAACAACAGGCATATTATATTAATCAATAACAACAGGCGTATTTTTGTACACGTTACTGTAAGTTGTAAAATATATAAAGCAAAGACACTTTTCTATATTTATTTTTCTTGACATTTTCTCATTCTATTAATATCGCTGCTTGTTAACTGAATTGTGTCTGTTCTGTTACTCATTATTATATAGATACTGATGA